GGAGCTAGAGTATTAAAATGACATTTCATTTATTTTCAATGGAAATTCAAAAAATACTCTGGGACAACCCAAAATGAAACATTGGACAACTACATAGGGCAGGAGGGAGTAACAAAGACAAAGCTATAAGTTGAAGTTGAAATTATTATCTTTTTGCCCAATTCTCATTCTAAAAGAGTGAATTTTATTACTACAGCATTTATTTGTCACATAACTTCATATTAAAGCTCCCATAACGTACAAATCGAGAACTAATTTGGAATAAGACCAGAAAATAATATTTTGACATGAACAGGAAGAGGTAAATGAGTTAAAAGGCACATCTCAAATAAGAAGGTGCATGCTAATTAATGAAGAATTTGTTTGCACTAGCTCATTAATAAGAATTAGCCATGTACCTTGATATGTATGTTAAGTTTATAATATCAATCTTATAGTGGCACATGGCTACTAAAATGGGCTAAACGCTTATGATTATAAATGATTCATGTTGGCTTAACCGAAACAAGCAACAGGAACAGACACAGCGAAAGATTTAATAAAGAAGATGAACTTGATGGAGATACATATGCTAAGATGGATGTATGGTAAAAGTGTAAAACTGAAATGAAGCAAGTGGTCAGTACACAAAGTGGAATGTTGAAGTGTAGGAGACTTAGACACCTTGGGCAAAAAACGACATAAAAAATTTAAAATAATTTATAACTCCTACATTACTTTTATCAGAAAGGGAAGCTGAGCATCACTTTAAGGTAAGCTAAACCTTCCTAACAAACATTGTCGCTTCATAGTCAAATTTTTAGGGTTAAACTGATGTGAGTTAGACTTTAATAAAATAATATTTAATTTCTATACATAAAATTGAAACGTTAGCAATACACCTATTGTTTTCTAGCAATTTTAAGACTTTCAAGACATGAAATTTATAAACCCCTACCTACTTCCAGAGGAGGAAAAGCAAAGTGTGAAAATTTCCTCCAAAACATCACGTAGAATTCTGAAGCTAGGTGAACGTGAAACAAGGCAGATGCATTTATCGGCAAAAGAATTTGCAGGAATATGATAAGCTTCGGCAATGTCCTCACACACATGATCTCGGAACGCAATGCAACTAACATAAATCTTCGACCCATCGCCCTCTGTAAAAAATGTTATATCCATGAAAAATATAGCAGCAAAGTGTCTCATCATCAATCAAGAAAACAACACAAAAGATCATGGATACTTGATAGACAAAATAAAAAATATTATAAATGGGATCGGTGTTCAGTTGAAATCCAGAAAATGAGACAATATGCATACCAGTTAAAACAATAGGATAACTCTTTGGAAAAGTTAATGGATTCTTAGGGTCAAATCCTGATGTGTAGAATTCCACACCAGCTGGCAGAACACACTGCAGAGTAAAATTTGTTAAGCAGGGAGCACACTACATCTCAGAGTTCGTGTGTCTATGTGGACAAAAACTAGCTTACAATAGGAGCCCTACTGCATCAGGACACCTTTTAGACCTCATTTCATTCAGACTTACGCTCCACATAAGCAATGCACGAATTATAAACTACTAACGATCTCAAACTGAATGATTGTGCAACAGATGGTATCGCCTTTTAGAATGCCCAAACCAACAAATGCTACGAACTATCCATTAATAATGCTAATTGCATGAAGCAAACTAAAATAACAAATATTTCCTCCATCCTAATTTAATTGTCCATTTTCCAAAATGCTCCACATTTAAGGATTGGAGGTAAAATAACAAACAATGCTAACATGATTTTAGGGACATTTTGCATAATTCCCATTTCCAATTACCGGTTTACTAAACATGGATAGTAGACAACTAAATCCAGACAGAGGAGTAAAATTGAAGATAAATGCTTTACAGTTGACAGCTGAGGAGGAGGGGGGAGATAGAGAGCGTGATTGGGAGGCGGGTACTGATCCAGAAGAGAAGCCAAGTACATGGTCCCTGTCCCATGGAAACCTTTCTGCCCTTCAAGCGTCCGGATCTCCGGCCCGACACCGCACACCACAAAGTACTCGAAGACTCGAGCCATTCCGCATCAAAAGCTAAACCCTCAGCTCAATGACGAGAATGGGACGGAACGAAAGAGCTAAGACTCTTCGGGTTCGAGCCGAATGAATGAATGGTTAAGTCTAAAGGCGTCGTGATCTTCAGTTCGCATCGGGTTTGTGTACCATCGCCGGCGAAACGATCAAGGCCAGAAGTTATACTGTTTCAGTTGGCTTCTGATCTATCTGGCCGTTCCATCCCGATACTCCTGACTCAGGTCGGAGTCTCTAATAGTGCGCCTAATTATTTTTTCATTCTTATTAAGGAATACTATTTTTATTAAAATCAAATCTAATCATCAAACATTAAATAATGATTATTATTCCATTAAATCACATTACTTTATTTAAAGTTACATATACCTAAATATTAATTAATATTATAATTTTAAGCATGACTATAATTATTATGGGACGGATGGAGTATTATTATTATGGTATTGGTAAATTACTCCAAAAATGGTTATATTCACTCTTTTTTCCTATATTTGCTAATTTCACACTCATTAACATAACTTTAGCATTGGTGTGATTTAGCAAATTTAAATGAAAGGGGTGGATATAAAAATTTGTGTAGAAAAGCACTCTTAAGTGAAGGACTGTCATCATTAAATTTGATAAGAAAAAACTAAATATGAAAAATAGCAATTCCAAAAGACTAATTATTGAATTTAGTCCTAAAAATACTCATAATTAAGAGTATGTTCTTTAGGGCTAGAAATAAATAGTTACATGTTGGAATAAAGTGTTAAAACTAAAATAAACTAGAAAAACTAGAAAAACACGAAAAAATTATAAGAAACTAAAACAAACTAGTAAAATTTGGAAAAAAAATTAAAGGTCAGTTAAGTGTATTTTACATAATATTCTTGTAATAATTGTTGTTGTTGTTGTTATTATTATATTCATAATAAGTCAAGAAACTGAATACAATTCGATCGCGTGAATAGTGTACATATAATTTAATCAAGGACAAAGAGATTAGTATATTTATTATTTTTAATTTAAAATATTAATATTTTTCACATGTCAATTTAAGTCAATACAATATTCACAATTTTGGAAACATAGTTTAGTGTCACATAAATTTTTAAAAATAAGTTTACCAATAAAAAAGTACTCTATATTATTCATATTATAATAGAAGAAACGAGTGTGAATCACAAAATAATGACATGGGAAAAATAAAAATTGAAATAATTTATAAACTATAGTTATAATAATAGTAGTAGTAATAATAACCATAAAAGGTAATAATAATACATGAAAAAAATATTATTTTTAGAGTCATTATTTGAGTATAAAAGGTTGAAGAAAGCTAACTAGATCTGGAAATGGAGCTTTTGTTGTTGGTTTTTACTTGTTTCCTATTGTGAACAAATTATTTTGGGCCTAATTGTGGGCAGCCCACCCCACAATTGTACAAATAAGCTGCATTTTTAATAAATTGGGTGAGATTCCCCTGACTCACCGCACCGATTTTGGTGTTTGTTTCCAGGGATTTAAAAAAAAAGTTGAAGAAAACGAAAATAGTTGAAAAAACTAGAAGGACAGAAAAAATTTGGAAGAAACTACATGAAACTAGAAAAAGCCAAAAGAAACAAAGAGCTTGTTTGAGAATAACGTTAGATATTAGCATTAGCATCGTAAAAAGGCTATCTACGGGCAACGTTTAACGTTAGTATTTTCGAAGTTAATTTACAGCGTTAAAATCCTATTTAAAACGCTAACGTTAATCAAAAATATTATTCTCAAGGAGCCGGTTCCCGTGACATTGCACATGGGGGTGCTCCGGTGCCCCGTTCGTAAAATTGACGATTCCTACCCCCGGTAAACTCCCCACCTCACCCCGACCCGAACACCCCCCACCCACCCCTTCAATTGCGCCCCCAAGTTGATTTTGATTTTGGAGTCAAAATTTGAAGGGGGTGGACGGGTGTGTTCGGGTCGGGGCGAGGTGGGTGGGTTTACCAGGGGAGTTAGGGGGTAAGAACCGTCAATTTTACAAACGGGACACCGGAGCAACTCCGAGTCATCCCATGACATTCGTTCCCAATGTCATGGGAACCGATGGGTATTCTCAAATATGGAGTAGGTTCTAAAATGAACTGAAAAACAACAAGTGGAAATAAATTAAGAAAAACGGGAGGAAATAGAAAAAACTCAAATGAATTGAAAAAAAGTTGTGAGCTATTTTAAGTTCGCCTTTGTAGTTTTAGGCTCCGTTCCGTTTAACTTATTTTTTCTGATATGATCTGATTTTTTCTAGTTCTGATCTGATCTGATTGGATCTAATCTGATTAATTATGATTTGATTTAAAATTCAAATCAATAATTTAATTTGACATTATAATAACGATTGAAAATTGTAATGATAATTCGTATTATAATATAATAAATATTTTGTATTTGATGATTATTTTTTATTAAAATAAAATTAGTTAATAATATTTTTATTTAATGATTTTTTTGTGAAATTAGAATATTAATTTAATATTTTAATAATTATTTCATATATACATTATAATAAATATTTAATTTATATATACATTAAAAAGTAATTAAATCTAGATAATCAATATATAGAAGAGATAGTATCTTTATTAAAATATTTCATCTTTATAAAAGATCAAAACTTTAGAAACTCAAATTAGGGGTGACAATAAAAATGTATTTTAAATGTAGAATTAGATTCACACTGTCAGTGTATTTTAAAAATAATATTTTCGACGTCTAGTAATTAAGGATTACTTTCTCAGTTTTCTATTTAATATGCTTCCAAAATTTATTCCTTTTCATTTTTAAGAATAAAAATAAAAATAATAATAATTCTTGGTGTGATCTTATTGGATCTGATCTAATTTAATTTTAATACGGAGTAGGAATAAAAAAAAAAGATAAAATAAGTACGAAACGGGGCAAGTCTAGTCTCCTTCTGAACAAACCCTTAGGCAGCAAGGAATCCCACAGAGGACAAGGGAGGAGCAGCGCAAACGGAGTCCAGTAGCCTTTTCGTCCAGCGCAGCGGAGTCGTGCGGAGACGAAACTACACAGAGCAGTAGCGTAGTTATCTCCTTTCCCAAGTTTGTTTTCAGGTGATTACCCAAGAACCCTAGCCTTCAATTCTCTTATTTTCTCGTTATTCGCAGCGGATTTAAATATGTAAGGCCAATTTCGGGTTTGGAACAGGTTGTATACGTTAATCTGAGTCCTTAATTCTGTGATAATTTTGTTAATTCGGGAACTTGGTTGTAAAAACACTAAGGGGCTGTTTGTTTCAGCCTCTTAATGGTTCAGATGTCTGAATGACTCAGCACTTAATGGTTCAGACTGTTTGTTTCAGTCTCTTAATGGTTCAGATGTCTGAATGGTTAAGAGATTTGCCTCTGAATGGTTAAGTATTATACAGAGTCTGAATGATTAAGACCTCTTATCTGAATTGATCAGGCATTTGCCTCTGAATAGTTAAGCAATATACTAGCTCTTAATGGTTCAGATCTCTTACTGGTTCAGCACTTAATGGTTCAGACCTCTTACTGGTTCAGCACTTACCAATTCAGAAGTTGCCAAACAGCCCCTAATTTTCCCCTTTGGTTTTCTTAATTTGTAGGCAAAGACTGGTTGTCTTGAAATGAAAAGTTAATCATAGATAGGTATTGAATTACCTGTCTTCATGAACTTTGTTCGGTCCCGTCATCAGGAAGAATGGGAAGCTTTTGGATAGTGAATGCAGGGTCTGGATCAGCATCACTATATAACTGGGCAATCTGCAGCGCAGGAATATTTGTGTTGCTTGCTCTTGTCTTGTCCATGTATCTTATCTTCGAGCATTTATCAGCTTACAATCAGCCTGAGGTTATTACCATTTTAATTTGAATATTTCAGTCACATCTTATTCACATTTTCTGCTGTTGTTCTTGCTCTATCTATCACATTTTAAAAATTTTCCATATGCTCCCCAATTTATGTTGCTCCCCAACTCATTATGGACAACCATATCCCTAAAAAAATCACTTCCCCAAAATGGTAAACTGCCACTTCACCAATCAATCTCTCATGGAGAGGCATATTTGGAAAGTCAACACAAAAAGTTATTCTTCTTAAAAACCCCCGAAGTCAAAGTGGGATCTTCATTTGGGGATGGAGGGAGTAATTCATTCGGAAATAACTTCCAGCTATGGAGGAGCACCTTCGTTTGTTACCATCCTCTGTGGCTGCATAGTTGAATTTGAGATCGTGTGTTTTGTTTAATTATGTTTTAATAATTTGGAACTTATAGAAGCTAGAACTTCTCTTGTTTGCAGGAGCAGAAGTTTTTGATTGGATTGATCTTGATGGTTCCCGTCTATGCATTAGAATCAGTATGATATTCATTAACTTCTTTGTCCTTCGTACGCTTCAGTCACTATCCTGTTCACTCTTACACATAAATTTAGTTCCATGATGGAATCAATCATTGTACTGGGCATAATGCTGCATAGTGTGCATGCTGAATAAAATGAAGGATGTGGATGCTCAACAATTCCATTATTTGAATTTATGTGAAGTTCAACTGATAATGATACACGACCTAAAATCATAGCAGAAAAGTTTTCATCAGACGTGTGGTGATAGAGATAGTACAACAACACCAACCTACCTAGTGAAGTAGGGTAGCGATAGATATAGTATAGGTAAAGATTGATATTGCAAAAGAATTATTGAAAACGTAGAATATAAGCTTGGCTTTTCTGTTAAGGTGACGGTGAATATAGCCTTTAAATTTGAGTATACAATAAGAACATGTTCTAGGTTTAATTAGGATTTGTTTCATCTGTTGGCATGAACATGTTATTTGGAGCAAAATTGTCTTCACATCGAGATACCTTTCTCACGTTTATTTGTCTTTGCTCTTTTGTTTTTGCACAGTTCTTGTCACTCTTGGATTCAAAAGCTTCCTTTAACTATGAGATCATACGGGATTGTTATGAAGCTTTTGCATTATATTGCTTTGAGAGGTATCTCATTGCTTGTTTAGGTATGTCTGAAGGATTCAAGCACCAATAGCTATTTTGTTTTGAATTTGCTGATTGTAGACTTCTGTTTATGTGTGCGCTTTCATTATGTTTTGTTTTAGTTTTTTTGTGGATAAGTGATTAAGTGGATGAGTCTGGGTAGGAAATAATAATCTTTGCTCCCATTTGGTCAAAAAAATTTTTTCCCCTGGAAAAATTTCCCAATAAAAGGTTGCATTCATATCCGAATGTATGTAATTAAATTACCACTCTGAAGCACATTGGTTTTGAAGCTTATATGCGTACCCATTTTCATGTTTGTGACTTACAATTTACAAATAAAGATGAAGAATGCAAATGTAAGAAACTTTCTTGAAAGGAAATATAAGAGTATTGCTTGTATTTGACTATGTTAAGGGACTTCTCTGGATATATTGCTAGAATTGTAGGATATTGTGAACTTGTATCCATTTATGTGTAAGAAATTTTAATTCATGTTCATTTTATTACTACGTATTTTTCTCTGATGGGCTAATTAAGAGGGTGTTTTGAGTACCCTGTTGTTGTACCCCTTTTCTTCTTAATAAAATTAGCTTGGGTTAGAAAAAAAGAGAGTGGTTTTTTGAGTAAACAATTTGAAAACATACTTTATAGTTTGGATGCTTGAAAAAATGTGTTTTCAGAATGTGCTTATTAGATGATGTTTCATGACACTTTCTCCATGATGTTTGGGACTGTTTTGATTGCTGTTTGATAAAACTCTATTTTTAATTGCTTTGAAAAATTGAATATATGTATTGTACAAAATTCATAAAAAGGAAAAGTAGACCGTGGATGAGCCCATTTTGATCCATAAATAACAAAACACAAAATGATTAAATCAACAAGCTACAATTTGTAGCTTGATTGAATGATTGTACAGCTTTGGGGCATTTTGGACTTTCCCAGACATCCTTAAAATGCAACACTACTTACAATAATATTTTGGGAGTCAAAATGCTAAGCAAAATTCCCTCTAAATCTGAAGTCTGTGGTGGATAAATGAATGTAGATACACTTCTTTTGCTCTAGAATTAGATTTGAAGGATGGAATAAGTCTATTAGATATGAACCATTAGCTGATAAAACGAGTGTCATCACTTGTCAATAATTCAATAAATAACTTATACATATCGTGAACATGCAGGTGGAGAGAAAAATACCATTGAATTTATGGAAAGTCACAGCATGGACATGTCATGTGCACCTCTATTGGATGATGTTTATGCATATGGAGTTGTGGAGCATCCTTTTCCATTAAATTGTTTAATCCAGAGGTGGTCACTCGGTCCTGAGTTTTATCAGGCGGTTAAAGTTGGCATTGTTCAATATGTGAGTTTCCAATTTTTTAAATCTTTGACTATGTTCCGTAGTTGCATTGGTTTTCTTTGTGTTGACCAATGGCTGTTCTCCAGATGCTATTGAAAATGATATGTGCTTTACTTGCGATGGGTTTCCAATTTTTTGGTATTTACGGCGAGGGAAAATTTGAATGGAAATATGCGTAAGTTATTCTGTATTATTTTTCATGCCTCAGCAATCTGTAAATTTTAATTTCTTTACACGGTTCTCTTCCATGCTTCATTTATTCACGATTTTATTATAAACTGCTTTTCGCTTTCATTACTATGAAGATACCCTTATGATAATCTGTCAATCAAACTCTGCATGCAGGTATCCTTACTTGGCTGTTATTCTGAATTTCAGCCAAACATGGGCCTTGTATTGCCTTGTACAATTCTATTCTGTGACAAAGAATAAATTAGAACCTATTAAGCCCTTGGCAAAGTTCCTGGTCTTTAAGTCAATTGTATTCCTAACATGGTGGCAAGGTGTAGCTGTTGCCTTCCTTTTCTCGTTTGGGGCTTTGAGAGGGCATTTGGCACAAGTTCTCAAGACACGCATTCAAGACTATATCATCTGCATAGAGGTTTTTTCTACTTACCTTTGTAACATCATATATATTTCTTTATCATAAATTTGCAATTACTTTTTAAGTTTCATATATGGACGTTCATGTTTTGGTCCAAACTGGAAAATAGACTGGACCAGTCCTTCCTCCAAAAGACCCTGGATTTTGATCCTTGCCCGCTCTGGGCCAAGGCCGTAATTGGACCGGAAACACTAAATATAAGGGTAGGGCACAAATATATTTACATGTTTGACCAGAAATAGATTGAATATTCAGGTCTGGGCCGTTGAATCGTGAACACACACACACACATGTAGTTATATACAACTACTTAATACAAGATGGACTAGGCCATACACACATGGCTATGCTAGGGTTTTATTTATGAGCATTTTAATCACATGATATTTGTTAGCCAAAAAAGAAAATCATTTTGGCAATGATTTAACATGATGCATTATATTCATACTGTGTGTACATGAAAATCTTCCTTAAATGAATACTGGTATGCCATAAACTTTCTAATTCTTCACTTGTGAAATAGATGGGTATTGCTGCTGTGGTGCATCTCTATGTTTTCCCTGCGGCACCATACAAGCGTGGAGAAAGATGTGTTCGTAATGTCTCTGTGTTGGCAGATTATGCATCTCTGGACACTCCACCAGACCCTGAAGAAGTTAAAGATTGTGAAAGAAGTACCAAAGTACGGATTGCACGGCATGATGAGAGAGATAAGCGCCCAAAATTTCACCAGAGTGTTCGGGACGTGGTAGTTGGAAGTGGTGGAATTGTAAGGACATTACTCAACTTATCCTTTAAATTTACAAAAAATGCTTGAGGTTTGACACCAAGAGTTTGGCATCAAGTGTTTCACAGACATGCACATGGAGACAAATGACTGACTATGTGTTTTTGAAACACTTGGTGTCGAATTCTCGATGTCAAATCCTTGGTGCGACCCTGACCTGACTCAAGGATGAAGCGATTCATGTTTTATCCATTCCCCAAAATTCCAGATTGTTGATGACATGAAGTTCACCGTTTCTCACGTGTTGGAACCGGTCGAAAGGGGCTTTGCAACGATAAACAAAACCTTTCACCAGATATCTGAAAATGTGAAGCCGCACGAAAAACTTAGGAAGAACTCCAAGGATGACAGCTGTCTTGTTCCCTTGAGCTCGCGGACAAATGAGTTCAGTGATGTAGGGGACAAATCTATCCAAGGAAGTATGAGTGATGGTGGATTGCCCGATGGAACGGTATCCAGTAGGGCACTATCGTCCCGCTTCAGGTATAGATAGCAGATACACCCTCTCTTTGACCTTACTCATAACGCTTTTGATAGAGAACGTAACAGAACCACTCTATATTCCCCATGTTTACCACAAAAATAGTGTACAGAGTATAATAAACATGCATTGGTATTATTGCATTTTTGCACCCAATACAATCAATCATCTGGAGTATGAACATAACAAGTGATTACTTTTGCTTCACATTTTATATTTGTGCACATCATTTTTTAGTAAACACGGTAATGGAGTAACAACGATAGTGTGGTGGCCAGGATCTATACGACAGGATTGGGCATTTTATATTCCAATAGCATACTTTTATATTACTTTTTATTCCATTCGTCCCGAAATGAGATAGACATGATTACATATTTTGCTAAATGAGTAATGAAAATTGGTAAATAAGGAGTATAAAGTTGATCCATTAAAAGAGGGCAGGGACTTTCATTCCGAGAAGGTTAATTTTTTTATTCCTGTACCAAATTATAAATGAATTCTTTTTAAAAATTATGGGATTTTGTACGTCGGTCGAATATGGAATATTCTTTTGGAAAAAAGGGAGTACCATGTGCTATAAAGACATTGTTTGGGAAGAACGTATTCAATTAACGTTGGCGTTTTAGATAAAATATTAATGATGTAGATTAATTTGCAAGATGTTAACGCTAAAAGCTACCGTCATATAGTCTTTTCAAAACAGTAACACTAATCTCTAGCACTGATGCCAAACGAGGTCAAAGTGTGAAACGTTAGAAATTTGAAGATTAAATACTCCGTAGTTTATTACCGTACCTACTTATTTTCAAACTAGTTTTTCATTTTTTCCTTTTGACTAGATTATTTACAAAATTATCTCTCACCATTTATGATTAATTTAAAATGATTTATTTATCATTTAAATTATTTTACTTGCATAAAAGAATATTTAGTTTATAAGTTAAAAAGTACTTATCAGGCAATAATCCAATAAGCACTAACTAAAAAGTTCTTTGCATTGATGTTTGTTGTACTGATGTAATGTTTGCTTTGAGCAATAAAAAGTGTGCTTTGAGTACTAAAAAGTATGCATTTGTTAAAAAAAGAGTAAATTCCATAATTAGTTTTTTATAACAATGGTTTTTCATATTTAATCTTCTATCATCAAATATTATCTATGTGGTCCTTTTATAGATAATTTTCCACAAATAGTTCTTCTTTAACCTTTTGTTATATTGGTATTAATTTGAAAGCTAAAAATGTAATTTGACATCAATCTTATATCTAGTAATGTATTCTTATGTTAGTTAGATGGATAACAAAACAATAATGACTATGAATGTGGTCTAGAATTTCGACGAAAGATCACATATGTAGACTATCAGGAATGATCTCTAGATTTGTGTATGACAAGAAAAATATATGATTATTTTGAAAATATATTTTTAGCCTTCAAATTATCGCCAACATGACAGAAGATCAAAAAATAACTATTTGTGGAAAGATACCTATAAAAAAGAATCACCGGAGTAATTTTTGATAACAAAGGACTAAATATGAAAAATTCCTGTTATAAAGGACTAATTATGTATTTTACTCAAAAAATTCAGAAAATGAAACATGACTTTTTCTTTGAGACTAGATTCATCCCCGTGCAATGCACGGACATAAAATTTGTCATGTTTATTGATTGCTTACGATTATATATACATCTTAAGCAAACTCTTTAATTTACAACATTAGAAATTTAAGAGTGTGTGAGCAAGTTCCTTAAAACCTTTTAATGTCAATATTAAAATAAATTTATATTGCAATATATACTATCTTCTTTCCTGAGTATCTGTCCAGTTTTGACTTTTTCCACTTAATCATTTTCAATCTTTGACCTATAATTAAAAAATATATATATTGTATATTAATTTGATAAAATAATATTTTTGAAAACATTTGATGTAATAAATCTAATAAAAATATTTTTGTCCAAATATCTAATACTATTTTTATTTAATTTGAAATTTAAGTTTACCAATATTTATCGGAAGAAGTCATATTTTATATAAAACTCACCTATTTTATAGTGTTTGAAGACATATTTTACCCTATCTTGGAAAATGATATCCAAAAAGAATTTTAAAACAATCCTTATTAATTATTTACTCTGTATTAGTTTTAAAAAAATATAAATTTTAAAATTAAAATTATAACTTTTTAAAATATACTTAAATCTCTTATTGATAAAGAGTTTATTCTTAAACACATGGCACACTACACTAAATATAAATAGGGTGTACTACATAGTACGAAGTAATGATTTTCACTGAATGTATTATGTATGTTGAGGCCAACATTAAAACTTACGGAGTATTGAAACTAAAGCTAATTTTCACAATAATCATCCCTCCATCTCTTAATTCCTTGCCATGTCCAGTTTTCAGTTAGGGTATTTTAGACAAATTTATCCCATAGTCAAATTCCTTTAAAATTGAGAACATGTTACAATTAGAAGATTTAAAATATCAAAAACACCGATTCTCGTCATACTTCTTGATTTTATAGTTTTTTTAAGCCAACAATGGATTCTATTCCTGTAAAAAAAATTGATAACAGTTAGGGTCTGTTTGGTATGTGGAATTGACAGAATTAGAATTGAATTGGAATTGAAATTCCATGGGATTCAATTCCATAGAATTGAATTCTGCCAATTCCAATTCATTTTTTACACTATCAATTCCAAATCTACATAATTTTTGAGCTACCAAACACCGGAATTGGATTTGAAGTCCTCAATTCCAATTCCATGGTTTGAATTCCATGTACCAAACGGGGTCTTATAGAGAAACAAATATGCATATGATAGCACAAAAATATGCACCATTCTTGAAGTGGATAATATGCATTGAATGAGGAAAAGGGAATACCCTTCCTTAGACATATACCATGTGAATATATGTATACGGAGTATGAATTATTGTATCTATTAGGTTATTTGGACTGTTGTGAATCTATGTATCTATATGAATTGTTTTTCAAGTTTTGGACCGGAGCTACTCAATATGGGCGGGAAACAACATAATCTATTTTATTTTCTTTTTATATATAGTAGGATGAAGAGACTATAAAACAAACTCTATCTTAAATTTTAAAACGAGATAATATTATTTTTCTTTTTTAATGCTTTTATTTTTTTGAGTGAATTCCCCAAAATGATGCTTTCTAATTAGTCGTTTTTTGTCAATTAGTCTTTAGTAAGCAATAATTACTTATGCTCCATTCGTTTCAATTACTCCGGTAATACTTATAGGTTGACTTTGCACAAAGTTTAAAAAAAGTAAAATTATGTGGTTAAAAGTGGTACAGAAGAGAGAGAAAAGTGAGACACAAAAAATTTTCAAAAAATGAAAATAAAGAAGATTAATTTGGAACAGGGAAAATATGATACCTTATAATTGATGAGTTTTATAAATATTCTTCAATAAATAATAATTGGTACTTTATAATAATTTTTTTCCACCATAGTTTTTTTTAAAAATTGGGGTGATATTATACTTTTTGTTTCTTTCAAAAAAGTGGTGTTTGACTCGGATCTGGTGCCCTCGTTCCCCACGCAGCACCTTCAGCGCGTGGTAAATCCATCATTCGACGCGCCTGGAGGATCAGTTTTGCTCTCTATATCCAGCAATCACCGTGCGCCACCATCCCTGCTACTTTTCATCGGATCTGCTGAATCTCCGCCGTACTTCGAGTTTCAAGCCTTCCACTTTCCGATCCCGCATCATCCATCCATAACGTAATTGTTTTCGTTTTGTTTTCTTTTGTTTTGTTAGATATTCTTTATTCTCTTGTCTCATCCATGCGGCGGTCTGTAGATCCGCTGCTTCATTGCCACCTTCATACGAATGCTCATGAATTTTCGTTTCCATGATTCGTAATCAGATTTGGTATCAGGGCTAAGATGGAATCTATGGATATCGTTGGTAAATCGAAAGAGGATGCTTCGCTTCCCAAAGGTTTTGCTTTTTTAGGCTCATATTTGTAGAATTAAGTTTCAAGTTGTACTCTATATTTGATTTCGTAATTTACTTTCGTTTTGCTGGAGTTAAGTATGGTATTTGGTATAAGGATATTCTGTGATTTAACTACTCTCAGATGCAATTAAGTTTTCCTGATTTTTCTGAACGGTACTTATTTTGGTGCTTAAACTTCTAGATGAATGGTACTTTGAAATCTTACACAGTTGAGTATATATGTTTGTTTTTTGTGTGGAGGAAGATGATACTGATGGTAAAGTGGTTTAGGGGTATTGAATCTAATACTATGGCAGTCTCAAACAACATGAAACATCCTCTTATTGGTCGATGTCCTATCAAAGGAGTGTGTAATTGATTTGTGAAGATTGATTTGAGTTTGTAGGTAATGAGAGTAGAATGAGCCATAGTGTTGGATGCTGGTACATGTACTAGATGAAAATACTGTGAACCAAATTACATTTACTCCCTTTGGGTTGTTTCTATACTCCTATCAGTCTCGATTTGTTTGTTTGTTGGACACTTGGACTGAGCATCAAATTGTTTATGGCCTTGTTTGTCAACTTGGACTTTGTTTTTAGCAAAAAACCTGTATACCTATTAGCGTCATTACTGTTCTTGCTTTAACATGCATTTCTTTGAATTATTTGCAGCAACAATGACAAAAATTATTAAAGAGATGCTACCACCAGATGTTCGTGTTGCTCGAGATACTCAGGATCTGCTGATTGAATGTTGTGTAGGTGCGTAGTATATGTTACTGTTGGTTAGTATTGGCTCATGAATACAATGGACTGATCCCCAGCAAGATATTCCATTCAAATGTTAAAAGATTCAAGTTTTTACCATGAAAAGGAATTGTTTGCTCTGTTACTTTTGTTGATCTACTTAAGAGCAACTCATGTGTTGGGCACATCTATAATCTTTAAATCTATAACACATTAAAATGTCATTACAGTTTTGTGACACGGTATGATGGTCTTAAATATAAGTCATTTTCATATTATCAATGCATATTTCATTTGTTTCTTCAAAATTGTAAATGGATGGATTTCATTTGTTTGAGGTTGTTTTACATAATGAAGTATCATTTAATAAGGACTTGTAGTTTTATGAAAATTAAGATTATTTTAAATGATCTTGTTTATTTGCTTGGTTTGTCTGAAAGTCAAAATGTGCCATATCGTAACGATTGGAGTATTGCTTTGGATCACCATGGAATTCTCTCTCTCTCTCTCTGTGGCTCCATTCAAAACATGAAAAATGGTAGCGAAAGAAAACAAAGTTAAGACAAAAATGATTTATTATATTTGATCCTACATTTTAGAATGACGAGAGAAAATCAATATGAAATATTCTTTCATATATTTAGAGTTTTTGGTCTTTATATGCTCTAAATAAGTGCTCCTTTCCATCCTGGAATAAACTTCATGCTTTAACTTCACGACGCTTAAGAAAAATATTGAAAAGTAAAACATGTATGGTTGGAATTTTTTAAGAGCTGAGAAAAATTTTGAGCCACATGTTACATTTTATAATCAGACAAAGTTGAAGTATGAAGCAAGGAAAGTGGGAAGTTTATTTTGGGACAAAGGGAGTTTTGAACCTTTATTTATTTATTTAATTTTTCCAAATTTTCGTTCCTTATATTTTCCTTACCATTTTCATCTATATTTTCTTCCCCTAATGTAACCTTAGATTATGATGACTATGCAATTAATATTCTACTGGACCCAAATGGAGAGATCTATAAAGGCATACACATCACATTGCAATCTTACCGCCCTTGGCAGAGTTACTTTAATTTGATAATTAATGGTTAACTTATAAAACAGTTCTAAACTCTTTTGTATTTTGCAGAATTTATCAATCTAATTTCCTCAGAATCAAATGAAGTTTGCAATAAAGAAGATAGGCGAACAATTGCTCCTGAGCATGTGCTCAAGGCCCTTGAGGTTATTGAATGTTCCTATTTTGCTTAGATGTTGTCAGTGTATAAACCATGAGATAGATCACCTTGCTTGTTCTGCTTTCTGAATACGTATGTCACATATCAATTATCACCACTAGATTACTATGATCAATTGTAATAATGCAAACAGTCTTCTCTTTGTTTAAATTTTATAATTTGTAAAGGAAAGCTGTGATGCTTTATATTTCATGCTACTGCTTCATTTGCAGCCATTGCTCTAACTATTTGTCATTGCTCATCATGTGTGTTCAATATAATTGACTTACGAACCATTTTGTAGTCATCTAGGTTTTGACATTGCTTCTAGAAATAATTAAAATATATTTCACGTGCAATCTCACCAAATCTTTAATACATTGCCAGGTCCTAGGCTTTGGGGAGTATATCGAAGATGTTTATGCTGCGTACGAACAACACCGGCTTGAAACCATGGTACTTGCATCTGTCACCTTATCAGTTACTCTTCCGTCCCAAATCTTTCCTCTGGTTTTGACTTGGCATGCTTTTTAATGTAAGATAAAAAAATTTAAAAATCTTTGACTTTTTTAAGTTTTTCCCTTGATGGTGTAGTAAATTCAAAAGATGTAAAAAGGTGAATAAGGCAAAAGTAAGGGTAAAATAGTCTCTTAGTTGTAAAAATGGTGAATAGTTATTCCATTTTAAGGAAAGGGGGAGAAAGTTATATTATAAGACAAACCAAAAAGGAAAACGAGAAGAAAGGAGTAGGACGAAGGGAATATTACTTCCATTCTACTTTGTAGGCAAAGCTGATGATCAACAGTTACGTGTTGTGAAAAAAAAATTGAACTATGTTCTTTGGTGTTGTGCCTCCTGGCAGGATACTGTTAGGGGCGGGAAGTTGAACAGTGCAGCTGAAATGACAGAAGAGGAAGCGCTAGCTGAGCAACAGAGGATGTTTGCAGAAGCCCGTGCGAGGATGAACAACGGCATTGCAGTCCCTAAACAATCAGACTCAGAGCCGGAACAACCCAAGTAAACTGCTAACTTTTTACCGTTCATCTGATTGCTTTTTAGGTGAAGGCATAAATTATTGCTTCTTAGGTGCTAGGATTCTGTCCTAAATTATCTTGTACAGAGGATCTATTAGCTAGCCTGCCCCCCTCTATTTTTTAATCTTACATGTAGTTCATGAATCTATATGTTTCTGTAATTAGTATTTTGGCATTAGTACTTTGGTGTATCATTGTTAGTTCGAGAGAATTACGGGCACTTTATTGGTGTATCTGAATAATTTGCCTATTTTTTACCTGTGTGATCTGAATCGATTAAATGTGAATGTTTTCTAGGAAAATGCTACACAACATATATGTGCACACTTATGCTACACTTGTGAAACAATCCATGTGTGCATACTTGCATCATATACAAAATTTTGAACTACTCTGTATAACTTTAAAAAACTCTTTAAAACAGACAAGTTAGGGGGTGTAAGTGTGGCATTTCCCAAGTTTATGATAAGTTGATGCAGTTATTGTTGTCTAAATTTTTTGAAAGTTTAACATGGGTGATAATACAAGTGAATATGGGGACAAGGTAAAAAAAACACGTTTTCGTAATGGTGATACATGTACACAATAATATCTACTCCCGATCTACTCCCGTAATATCATTTTTGATGGAGTCAAAGATTTACTACTCCCTCCGTTCCAAATTATAATGCTTGTTCACTATTCACATGGTCAAATTTCATTCACTTTCTTTCTCTATTTTCGTTAGCAAATTGATAAAATAAAATATTGTTGTTACTACTAGTTTTGTAGATCTTTTGATGTAGTATTTTGATATGTAATTTTTATTTTTTAACTCTATACCATTTGTCATATAAAATGATTTGAAAATAATTTCAGTCAAACATCGTAAACCGAAACAGGTGTTATAAAATGGGACGGAGGGAGTATTTTTTTCTATTTTGGGGTACGATGAAATAGAACAAAATGACTCTTTAAACCACATGTGCTTCTTTCAATATTGAACTAGCAGTTCGTCAATGCAAATTTTGATGCTTTTCATGGGTCATCGAGAGACAACTTCTATATTATAAACATAAGGGTTCAGGTGTATAAAGGCAATAAAGTTATGCATGGTCTCTAGTACCTTTTTAAAAATAAGGCATGTCTTATTTACAAAAAATTATCCCCAGATAATGTATGTTTTGTCTAAATAATTTTCTGGTCCCTGTATTTTCAAAAAGGCAAGAAATGTCCTTAAATTTTGTTGTAATGACTAGGAAGGAACATTCTATCTAATACTTCATCGTCTTCATCCATTGGCGTCACTAAATCTATTTTTCCTATTTTGCCCTTAGTGTTTAGTGTTTTACGGTAAACTCTAAGGTCCCTCACTTTTTAGTTTCTTTGTTTCCTTTTTTTGTTTCTCTTTTTTTTTTTACTTTGTTTCTTATTTCTTAAAGGTATTTTTTAAGTTTCTTCTAGAAAATAGTTTTAAAATTTCAATTTTTTGAATGATATAAAAAATAAATTAAATAAGAACCTTATAAAAAAGGAAATTAGATCTCTTTCTTTTAATACTTTGTACAAAGTATTAAAAAAAATCTTAAGGACTTTCTAGGGGAAAAAATTGCTTTATTTTTCAAATTTTCAATTATAGTTTCTTTTCTTTTTTTAGGAAACATATTCAGATAATTTTAACAACCAAATATTCAAAGTAAATGAACTTTAAGTTTATGTTTGCACTCTTGTGAGTTTGCTTTTTAACCACTCTTGTGAGTTTGCAAAAAAGTAAATGAACTTTAAGTTTATGTTAAAAATAAAAATAAATATGAAGCTGAAAATTATTTGAAATAAATAAATAAATGATATTCAAATACTATTTCTTTAAAAAATGAAATAATTAAACCCTGATTTTAAATATTTCTTAAAAAATAAAATGTATACCGCTCATATTGAAAGGAATAAAAATTATAAATTGATAAAAAAATGTATTTTTATTAAATAAAATGCTTTTTTCACAAAAAAACAAACAAATATAAAGTTGATTTTTTAATATTTTTTTAAATATAAAATTGTAAGTTTCACTTTGGAACTGCGTATTTACAACCTTAAAAATGTAAATTAGGCATTGGAACTACATATAACAATAATAATAACAATAACAATTAAAATAAAAATAATAACAACAACAACAATGCTAAAACTTTCATGTAAATGAGACTTTTTTGTGTCAACATGATGTAAATGAGATTTGTTTCCAGTGTAAATGAATTCAACTGTGTGTAAATGGAGCAAGGATTGGTATGGTGAAATAAAAAGCAGACCAAAAACAGATTTAAATTTTTTTATCAATTTTATTATAATAACAAATTACAGGAATATACAGACACAACAGCAGCAGAAGCACACGCCGTTGATATATAAAGCTTCACGGCCACTTTATGGATGACATTTTTATGTCTACATTTTCTATAATATAAATAATATGGAGGAATAATATAAGGCACAACACAAATCAACATATTCAGATAATTTTAACAACCAAATAAATGCAAACATTCGGGTTATTTACCCGGAACGAAGAGACATCAATCGGCACCCCCCACCCTTCCGGTTCTCAGCCAGAAACAAAGTAATCCATTCTTTCTACGGGCAGATTCAGGACCGAAGTCTCAACCTAAAAACCAGGAAAGTTTGGGGTGGAGGTCAGTATAAATATATATATGAACTCAAAGGCAACAGCATTTTTATTGCACTATGAAGAAAAGTGTGTTCGAACAATACTTTGGTGAATATGAGATCCGCTCAACGGTAAATTGACCGTCCTAATTCCTAACTCAAATTCAAGATGCGAAAGCAAAATGAACGCGGAGAGGTTATTAACATGTTGACAACCTAACAGTACCAAACTTGTGAAGAATGACTACTTCCAAGAGCTAATTATTTGCACAACTCAAGAGGTGAAGGACTCCATGATGGAATATATTGTATGGCCCAAACAGTCCAGTATGAATACCCAGCCAGTTATGAAGATCAATCAAACAACAACAACATTGTGGGGTGGGAGGGGGGGGGGGTCGGATTGTCTGACCACTATGTTTAAGACATAGAGCGGCTATTTCCAGATGACCCATGATGAGCACCGGAAGTTGCATTGGCTAATTGCTACTTCACTATCAAAGAAGCACAAATAGTTTAAAGAGCCAATTTGCTTTGTTCCATTATAACTCCAAAGCCAAAAAATAGTGAATCTTTGGCTCCATCGGACATGATGGAAATACGAAGATCAGTCAAACAAGGCCCATAAATTTTGGTTAGAAGGCACAAGGGGAATGCGAAAGTATTCCAACTAGTGTTACCCTTCCCCCACCTATGAAAGAGACATTTATTCATCAAGAAATTGGGGGGGGGGTGGGGGGGGGGGGGGGGGGGGGGGGGGGGGGGGGGGAGAGAGCTCTCTGTCAATCTCACTTTCTCCAAAACACCCAATGACTTCATACACTACCTAAAATTCTTCATTGATTAGCTAGCTAGCATCACTAATGGAGTCCACACCTATCTTATACATGTAAAAACATGCCCTACGTCAATAACACTTCTTGTTGGCATGGTCAGTGCCGGATCCAGAAAAAAATATGACTGGGGGCAAACACATACTAAAGAGTATGGTGGGATTCATGGGTAGCACTCCCGATTTTTTTCAAGGCTATGACAATGATAAAAAATAAATTTAATTTCAAACAAGTATTCAAATAAAAAATTACTTTTAAAGTAGAAAAATAAAATATAAAATATATCATAACATAATATAATTATGATATTTCAAATATTTTACCTGTATATGTTTTTAAGAGATTATTTTTTCCAGGGTCGTTCTTTTAATTCTCTACAAAAAGAATTATTTTAACACTGTATATTACGGAGTAAAAAAATTGACTGGGGTGACTGCCCCGTATTTATTGGGCATGGTATCGCCAAAAAAAGCCCATGGTCATCTGCTGATTGGGTTTCTAGGTAAAAAATAGTCTCTTTATATTTTGTTGTAATTTGTTAGACCTAGCCCAAACCCGGTGATAGAGCTACAAAAAAATTTTATTACCTAAAACAAGAGTAAGCCTACCAAGGTATAAAAGAATATTAGACTTTATCATGCTTGCCCCAACTCTTACTTATCATCACTAACACCTAGAAAAAGCTAATACTGCCTCGGATCTCCGCCACGGAAAATAGTTTTTATACCAACGTACGCTTTGAAATTTTGATAATTTGTTCAAACCCATTAATCATATTGATTGAATGTAGTTTATTACTTAGTTAAGTAAATTTATCATATTTAACTTGTCTAAGACTCTACTTTTTGAAGGTTGTATGAAAAATTAGAAACAATAGTAAGAATCTTAAAAAATGACATCAATTATGGATGAAACTTTACCTCCTCGAATGGGACAAAGACAAAAGGTGTAAGACCTCTTTTGTGTGAAATAGCTGGTACATCAGGGTTATGTGTCTCATCCTCTTGCCAGCCCTCAACAACACCAAGAATGTCTTCATCACGGTGGCTAACCTCACTCTCATTCACACCACAAGTTAAAAGTGCCAGTAGATCCATCCGGTTATTGGCACCCTCAGATGTCCCCCTTAACCTAATTGGAGTGCAAAGACCAAATCAAGTTATAACTCTTTCCAAGTCCTGGTTTCTTCCAACGACTTAAATAACGTATTTTCATAAGATGCATATAGAATAACATCATACAAGTAGTATTTTTCATCCATTGGAGCCAAGAATTCACTATTTTTTGGCTTTGGGGTGTGATGGAATAAAGCAAAATGGATCTCTAAACTATCTTTGCTTCTTTAATTAATGAAGTAGCAGCTAGTCAATCAATGCAACTTTCAAGCTGAGCCAGGGGTCTCTTTGGAAACAACCTCTCTACTTTCAAGTAGGGTTAAGGTCTGCGTACACACACCCTCCTCAGACCTTACTATTGTGAGATTCAATTGGGTTGTTGTATCACACATCCAAATTTATAACATACCACCTCAAACACGAACAAAGATGAATTCTTTTTTATTCAAAATTAAGTTTCTTACGTATTTATTTGGTTGATAATTAAATGACTTTTTGGACACTATTTTTTCCAAAACTTTCCAACTCCAAGTTTTTTCCAACACCTTCCAGTTTCTCCAACATCTAACTTTATAATTCTAACAAAAAAGAACAGGCCCTAATGGTGTAAAATAATTATGAAGGTAGTATAAATGTATTGTTAAGTGAGCTTAGAAGGCAATGTCATAGTTATGTGTTTGAGTGAATAGGTTGTAAAGTGTGCGCTATCCTATAGTTAACACAAACATTCATAATATTTTTACTCTGAAAAAGAGTTAATCACATCAACTAACCAACAAATAAATTTTAACAATCTATAAATGATTTCATGACTTTTACCAATGATACCATGCAAACCTTTAAAACTCCTACCTTGACTAAGTATGATTTCTTTAGAACAAATGGATCAATAAATTACTTCGATTTTCATAAGCCAATTTTTCTCTTCTTTGTTAGATCACGAGTAGAACTTTGCTTTCTGAAAATTTTCAAGATTATTGAATACCGAGTATAAACTTTTTTCCATTCATCACTTTGGACAAGTTTTCCATCATCTCCGATGGAGCCAAAATTTCACCATTTTTTGGCTTTGGGGTGTGATGGAATAAATCAAAATGGATCTATAAACTGTCTGCGCTTCTTTAATTAATGAAGTAGCAGTTAGTCAAGCAATGCAACTTTCGACGTTGAGCTGGGGGTCTCTTTGGAAACAGCCTCTCTACTTTCGAGTAGGGGTAAGGTCTGCGTTCACACACCCTCCCCAGACCCTACTCTTGTGGGATTTAACTGGGTTGTTGTTGTTGTTACTTTGGACAAGTCTATAAAATACATTTTCCTTTCACATTCTACTACTCATCAAGAATTTGACAATGGGTTTATCAAGAGGAATACAATGGATATATAGTTTGATAGGTCAAAGAATAAGTGAAACTAAAATACCTCAGACGAATTCTAAGCACAGTTGGACGCAAACCAGGATACAAAATGGCAGCTTCAACCTGCAGATGTGAGGACAGTGTTCATGATATGGGCTTCAAGAAAGGAAATCAACTATGCTATGGGTATATCAAATTAAAAGGTAATGTAAAGACGGCACTTTACCCAGATAATGCAATGGAAAATAGATAGACTTGATAGATGGGCACCAGTAATGGTTAAAAGCTAACCTTGTCCTCTGAGAGGGTATAACTCCCACTAAAAACACTATTAGCCCTTGAAGCACGGAAGTTCATTAACAATGCTACATCTTTCAACTTTTGTGACGAATTCTACAAATAAAATAAAAATACAAAGATTTGAATTACTTGCAAAAAATTGAAGGCAAGTACAACAACCAAGTATAATCCAACTTCCATTGGGGGCTCGGGATCAAGATAAGATGTAACGAAAAGTAAAATGCAGGGCAAGTTTAATGTCCCATTTGATGTAGTCCATTATGTGCCGGAAACTAATACTTTGTCAAGAATGACTCTTTTAGTTCCATCGGCAATGGCAAGGCAAGTAGTATAAAATAAATCTAAAACAGTTAATTACCTTATACAGAAATCTTCCAGAAGGATAAAATCTCAAATACCGGTAGTAACATACCTGCAATGAAGTAACATGCAATGAGAGATAAAACAAGAAACTACGCTTGTCAGACTTCACACTATATTTTAACTTTTAAGGCTCAGTTCTTTTCCGTTGGAATTCTAAAGTTGGATGTTGAAAGAAATTGGAAGTTGGAAGAAACTGGGAGTTGAAAAAAAAGTGGAACAAGTTGGAAATGTTGGGGAAAAAATAATGTTAAGAAATCACTCAATTAAATGATCACCCAAATAAATACATAAAAAAAATAATTTTGGATATAAAAAATAATTCATCTTTGCCCGTGTTTGAGGTGTTATGTTATAAATTTGGATATATAATGTTATTATATAGTCATCATATGTAAATACATTTTTTTAAGTCGTTGTGGGAAGAATCTGGAAGGAGTTGGAAGTTAATTTTTCTAACCGAAAAGAACAGAGCCTTAGTAGCATATCTCTTTCAATCGGCTAAAAAGAGCCTACTAATCTATTACAACAACCGAGTACAATCTCACATAATAGGGTCTAGGGAGGGTGTGGGGGTTTGGGGAAGGTGTCATGTGTGTACACAGATTTTACCTTTACTACAAAGTAGATTGACTGTTTCCAAGAGACCCCCAGCTCGAGTGTAACAAAAAGCACATAACCCGACAAAAAGAAAAAGCAGCAAAATAAAGGAAAGAAAAGTACAACGAGACAGAAGTAGGGGTGGAGACGATTCTTCTACCCATTTTAGGGGAACCAGAACTGGTACCGTGTAGGGATGATTCGCTAGCGGTTCCGATTCTAGTTCTAAACCTGTTCCAAATAGTTTTTTTAAAATAATTTTGGTAAAATAGTCATATAATCGACTCCAAACTCTTTTCGAGTCGATAAACATTGTAAATCAACTTCAAAAAAAATTGAAAATAAGCATTGCGGTACAAAAAATTAAGAAGCAAATCGGAACCATTACCCAACGGTTCTGGGTGATTCCGCCATTCCGGTAACCTAGCCTTTCCAGTTTTGGTTCAGAACCGGAACCTTGTCGATATCTAGACACAAGACACGCAAAACAGCTACAACAAAAATGACCCATAGAAAACACCAAACAACAAGAACATATAACTACCCAAGTACTCGATTCCTAGATCTCCAGACGCTCCTATCTAAGGTCATATCCTCCATAAGAACCAGAAGTCCCATGTCTTGTCTAATCACCTCCTTTCAACTCTTCTTAGGTCTACCTTTTTCCCGTCCCCTCCCCCACACACTATTCTAAGTCTCTCGCATCTGCGGATCAGGGCCTCAACGCTACGCCACTTCACGTGACCATACCATTTCAATCTAGCATTTTGCAACTTATCCTCCACCGGTGTCACTCCCACGTGTTCTCGAATAACCTCATTTCAAACCTAATCCAACATTGTCTGCCCACACATCCACTGCGACATTTGCATCTCAGCCGCATACAATTGTCGAATGTGGACTTCCTTAATGGTCAAACACTTCACTCCTTAAAGCATAGCCACTTTAACCACTGAATGATAGAACTTTACTTTCATTCTTGCTGAAATCATCTTATTGCACAAGACACCTGAGGTTGTCCTCCACTTAGCCCAAGCTACTCGAATACGGTGAATAACATTCACGCCTATCTCTCCATCTATTTGAATGACCAAGCCAAGATATCAAAACTTCTCTCTTAGGCACTAAGTGTGAATCAATCCTAACTTCCACTACTGAATTTGTCACCTAACCACTTAAACAACATTCCAGGTACTCGGTCTTCTTCATCAAATCTGTAGATCTGATTTGATGTTATTAAGGTTTGTTCTGATTTGGTCTGGTTTGATCAGAGTGTAGTTATATTGAAAGTTACTTCTAATCTGGTATGGTCTGATTCGAATAAGAATAAGTTAAAGAGAACAAGCTCTCCGTCTAAAGCCTTTGGATTCCCGTGACTGATGCCACATCTCCAACTTGGCATTGAGTCCCTCATGAGTCTCATCGATCAGCACAATATCATCAACAAAAAGCATGCACCATAAAATTTCCCCTTGCAGTTCCTGTGATATCTTGTGATAGAACATCTATCACCAAGGAAAACAAGAAGGGACTAAGGGCAGACCCTTGGTGTAACCTTTAGAGTCACCCTTATAATCTTTAATTCTTCACTCTAGTCCTTGCCCCGGCATACATATCTCTAACTGCACGAATGTAGGCAGTTAGAACCCCTATAAACACAAGACATCTCCACAAGATCTCCCTCAACACCATGTCGTACGCCTTTTCAAGATCAATGAACACCATATGAAGGTCCTTGTTAGCTTTATATTATTCTATGAACATGTGCAGAACATTGTGGTTGACCGATGAGGCAACCAAACTAGTTTTGAGAAATTCACCTATTTCGGCAGCCTAGCCTCTAAGCTATGCTCCTAGACCTATAGTGTGGCTAAGAAGTTTGATGCCTCTATAACTATCGCCAATGGATATCACCCTTCCCGTGATAAAGTGTGATCACCACTCTCCCTCCATTCATCATGCATCTTTGCCGTCTTAAAAATAACATTGAAAACCCTGGTTACCCAAACCAACCCACTGATGCCTATAGCCTTCCAAAACTCCACTAGGATCTCATATGGCCCCAAATTAATTTACCTAAATGACTTGAGAGAGTGTGAGGGTTTGGAGGAAGCCACTGGAGGACTCTAGATGCAGCAACATTGAATCAACGAGAACGGGTGACGCGTAAGTTGATCTTCTTACAATTGTAAGTCTCTCCCCCCTATGTCTTATATCGATCTCCTTAGTCTTCTCTTTGTCTTCTTCTTATCTTCTTCGTCTCCCGCATTTCTAAAAAGGGAGACACGTCTCCCCAGTGTTTCTGAAAGCAAAATACTCCCTCCGTCCCAAAATGATTTACCTCTTTACTACTATGGCCTCCCGATACCATTTGTTTATTTGCATATTTTCATCGATCATTTTATAAAATAAAACTTTTGATGCAGTTTTTTAATATGTAAATTTTATTTTTTATTTCTATACTAATTTGTAAATGAAATCATTATAAAAGTCACGAGATTTTATACGTCGTTCGAACAGGGAAAACTCTTTTAGGGATGGAGGGATTATTTTTAAAACGGAAACGCCAATTGTCGCCCTGGAGACATTTTGAGCCGTCCCCAACGTTTCGGCGTGTCTGCGGTTTCCAACACGGATACGGCACCGACTATGGCGTTTCCGTGTAACATAGCTCCAAATATTGGGCCTTCCTCTCATGCTCCTTAGCTAGCCAAAAAGTCTCTTATCACCTCCTTGCTCCTCTAAGTCCTTATAAAGGCATTCAAGTGCTACATTATTTGACCTCGCCACCTCCAATTGTGCTTCCTTGCGAGCTATCTTATACTCCACTCTTAAACACACCCTAGCCTCTTCATCACCACATTTCAAAAACCTCTACCTTCTTAGCTTCCACCTTAATACGAACCACATCACTCCACCACCAATCACCTTTCTGCTACCCCCAGTACATCTGCTCACAGTTTCACACCTAGTACTTCTCAAGCAGCTTCTCAGATGCAGTTTGTAGTCTTAGAGCCACATGTCATTAGCCTCCAAGAGGATCACACACACCTTTCTCTTGGAAGCTTAGTAATCTATAAAAATTTAAAATTCTTGCTACACAAGATTACCATAATCCTATCTAAATGAAACATGCTCTTTTTTTATCACATAAAAAAGTCACGAGGGAATGGTTTACCCATAGTACCAACTACCAAATGCCAATGAAAGGTGCAAAATGAAGCCTACCAATGTGATAAGCCATATTTATTTATACACTAAGACCATAAACATAAAATAGGATATAAGTAAGGACACTCAGAAAGAACTTCCTGGCACTACTTGACGAAAAAAGTTAGGTGAAAAGTGAAGCACATTATGTTCCCTGTTGTGTTCAAGGAAAAGCTACACTATGTGATTTTTAACACAATTTGATTGGCCCAATCTCACTCTTTCCTAATTATATAATGTGGAATAGTCTACTAAAAACTTATGCACTGATAAGACTGTTAATATTCTTGAGGCATGTAGACTAACTCAAAATCTCAAATCCAACTAATTGCACTTATGTACAAAATATTTAATATCCAAATTGTCAAAAAGTAGAACAAGATAAATATCCTCCATTTAGACTACAATGGGAAACTCAATTATAAAAAAAGGGAAGTGACACATACAATGTGAACCGGATTTGTGATCTTCAACTCAGCAACTCCTGCACGAATGTATGTATTGCGACTCACATAGATGCCTGAGGTTAAGGCATGAATAAGTATTATCCACACTCCACAAAAGATTGAGAAAAACCACACATGATTTAATGTAAAACATTTCATTGACCTGTGAGTTAAAAAAGGTTTTACATTCGTAATTGCAATATCCTAATAGGAGCAATAGTTATTACAGAGATGAATATCCTGAACCTAACATGAGTAGGAAACTATAGAACAAATAAGAGTAAGAAGGGCAGCCTGGTGCACAAAGCGTCCCTGTAAGCAGGGTCTGGGCAAAGGTCCCACCACAAGCGCGTAATGTAGGCAACCCTTACTGTGCATTTTTGCAACAGACTACTTCCAGGCCTCAAACATGTGACAACGTGATAGCACGAAAACAACAAATACAAGTCAAGTTCATAAATATCTAGTGGAAGAAGTTACCCCCCCCCCCTAAGGAATGATTTCATATCCGAGGAAATAATATTAAAGAGTACAAGGGATTATCAAAGTGCAAGGAGTGTAAAACAATAAAAAAACAGCGCAGACATAGTTCATGTTTGAGCTTATCAAAAATGTCTATCAAGGAAGTATGATTATAGGAGATTGACCTTTCATCCAGAAGTGAAGATTGGGAATAAAAACACGAATTTATCCATTGATTGATGACAATGAAAATGCCACGGTATGTGTCTGTTCCACTCACTATAAGCCAAAATATACAGAGTGAGTGATTCCTATGCACTGTCAAAGTAACTTCTGAATAAAAGACTATTATATCTATCCTAGAAGATGAAGAATTGGGCCACTTGCTTGACCCTATGTAAGAGCATATACAAACAACTTAAATCATTCATTTAAAACTTTGATTCCGAAGACTAGTCACGATCATACGATGTGAAACTTTAGGCCTATATCATGCTCAAGGAGACGGTTTTTTGACATTAACAACGACAAGGCTTTGGGTCTAAATGGATGTTCTTTGGCATTCTTTACGCCTATGTGGGATGTTGTGAATGCAATCTTGGAGTATCTCTCAAGTGGTAAATTGCTCAAACAACTTAACCATTCTGTTATTGCTTTGACTATAATCATGATCGGACGGTGCAATACTCTAGGCCTATTTCGTGCTATGATGTGATCTATAAGGCCATTACTAGGATCCTAGCCAACCGCATGAGCTCCCTCCTACCACATCTTATTGAACATGCACAATCCACCCTCGTGACAGGTTGGTCCTTGGTGAACAATACTTTTAATGCACATGAGATTATTGAAGGGTATAGCCGTAAGAAGATTTTCTCATGTTGCATGATCAAGAAGATATCACTAAAGCGTATGATGTAGTTTCTTTGAATTTTCCACGGGAGGTACTCTTATAGTCTTATGCCTTAGCTTTCCTTCACACTTGTCCTTTTCATTATTAACAGTATAACTAATGCCTTTTTGTTATCTCCTTGAATGGAAGCCTTCACGTTCTTTAGAGGGAAGTGAGCTATGAAGCACGGGTGCTTCAAAAAAAAGTGCCACAAGCCCGGGTGTGGCTGGGTATTTTCCTTTTTAATGAACAACATATAGTTTTATATTGTTTTTTTTAATTTGGGTGCGGCTAGGTAGTTTTGAGACATTTTATGTGGTCTGATACTCTGATGTTAACTTTAATGGTAATTTGAGACATGTATTACGCTTCCTATCTATTATCTGGGATGTTATGTGTTTGATTTATTTAAAATTTGGACAATAGTTATATTTTGTGAATATTTTGGACATAAATCTATGCATTCTTACAAAGAAATGAATAATACAAATAAAAAATGTATAAATAAATTGGCAGCACCCGCACCTTGTTTTTTTTAAAAAATTGTTGCACCCAACAGTCAACGCACCTGCACCTGTGCTTCATAGAGAGTGAGGCTTCCGACAAGCCGACAGGGTGACCAAATGGCCCCTGCTATATTTCTCTTTTGTATTGAGCACATATTTAGGTTACTTAATACAAGGAGTCAAGGACGTTGGATAGGGCCTTCAATTTTCACCCGTTGTGTGGCCAATTAGGATTTCTCTTGTCGCATTTGCCTATGATATCGTGCACTTCTTGAGGGAGTTATTTCGATTGAAACTCTTCTTAGATGTGTTAGAGACTTTGAAGCGGTGTTGTCCCTTAAAGTTACCCCCTAAGAGTCTAACCTCTTGTTAGGAGGTATTTTTTGACAAGGCTATGATGATACCATGGAGCTTGTGGACTTCCATGTTCGCTATTTGGGTGCCTTTAGCAAACTGAAATGTGATGGAGGCAAATTTTGCACCTCTAACCGGTACAATTGATGCATCTATACTAGCATAGAAAGCGAAGGCCTTGTCATATGCCGAAAGGGGGAATTGATTAGAGTCGTTATTCAAAGAGTACAATCCTTTTGGCTTCTTGGTTTACAAGTCCATTCTTGGGAGAATTAGGTCATGTTCTCTTCAACTTATTCATATTACTTATTACTTTTTCTTATTGGAATCAGACCAGATTAGAAACAACTTTAAGGCCATGTTCTCTTCACTAATCTGAATGGTTTTGATCTGATTGGAATAAATTCTGATCTAATCTGGCCTGATCTGAATGTAGTTATATTAAAAGTTGTTTCTAATCTGATTCCAATAAAAATAAGTAATAAGTAAAAAACAAGTTGAGGAGAACATGGCCTAAATATAATTACATTCAGATCACATCAGATCATAACTTATTTCAATCAGATTAGAACCATTCAGATCAAGTGAAGAGAACATGGCCTTACTAGTACTTGCTCAGACTTTCTTTGGGATAGCAAGTTTGACAAGGTGGCGTCGAGTGATTTGTGCAAGCCAAAGAAGAGGCGGGTCTCAACTCAAGGAGTGCCTTGTGTGGAACAAGGCTTTATTGTCTGAAGTCCTTTGGAATATTCATTTCAAGGAGGAATTACTTTGGATTAGGTGGGTCCTTGTTGTGGTGTGGAAATGGACTCCATGCAAGAGTAACTCTCCACTTATGAAGAAGCTAGCCATGATTCATGACTCCTAGGTTGATATTTTTAGCGGCAGTCAGTGTATACCTGCCTGGACTTAGCCGACTTTGTGACAATGGCAAGTTAATTTATAGCAACATTTATACTTTGATTTGGATCAAGGCTAGCATAGCAGCCTAGCACTAAGCCATGTGTGACATTCATTTGAAAAGCTTATATCTCGTCCAAGTTTTCTTTCATCCTTTGGTTGGCTTACCGGAGATTAAAGCCTGGCTTGGGCTTCGGGGGCAGCTGAGTTCACTAAGCAGTTTGTCAAGACTCAAGAGAATGCATTGAGAACAGTGTGGAGCGCATATTCGGAGCAATGTAGTGAAGTTGTCCTTTGTGTGTACTGTCTGATACTCTAATATATTTGGAAGACTTGGTATAAGGCCTGCTTTGATCATTATTCAATTGTTTATCAAAATTATGGTGTATAAGATTATGTACAAACTTTATCCAGATTGTATGATTGATTTTTAACCTTGGTCGGGATGTGGCCTTTGTGCATGTGATTTCGTGCGGGTATGCCCGTTGCATACTTCATGCACTTTTGGGTTACATATCTTAATATTTACAATTTACCTAAAAAAGAGCGTATATAATTTCTATACTTCCACACCGATATAAACACATAAAAGAGATGTGATACCTACCATCTGTGCGAAGCCGTGGTCTCAAAAGCCACATTCTCCTCCACGACCCATTGAACTTTAGCTGGAGATTCATGTAATTCTCTTCCACCCCAGTGATCTTCAAATAAAGGAAACATTTACAAAAGAACCATGATGTGTTGCAGCAATAAAAACACAAGTACACTATACTACCTTCCACGCCTTCAAGCAAGCATTGCGCCAAAAGATGGGGTTACGAATTGTGTAACGCCACTTCCGACAAACACAAGCAGCCTTGCCCAAGGTATACGGGTTCATTCTTGAAAAGATCTGCATTAAATACTGATTGCAGATTCAAATCGACATTCCAATTGATGGCTATAAACCACCAAAGATATTAAATTGTATAAAGTTTAGAGAGAGAGAATGCAAAGTAGGAGTATATTCACTCAAAATTCGGATCCTTTACAATGAGGGGGCTTCGCCCCTTTTATAGAGTATACAATACATTTAGTCAAACCCTACGACCAATATTCGTCGCTTAGCGGACGTCACCTGACTCTCATGTCTTGTCCCTTTCATCCCATCGCCCGGTCGCTATCCTCCCGTCGCTATCATGCGGCCCGAAGAGCCGAGCTTGGCGACCGAGCTGAGCTGGAGGCTGAGCTCGTGCACGGCAAGCCGAGCCTGGGGGCTCTTCCCGGTAGACGAGGGACTGAGCTGAAGTCAGCCCTAGGCTGTCGCGGGGTTATCCTCCGTCTCAAATCTAAAAACGATAACAACCCTTTACAGATGCAATTCCCTAGTTAGGGAAACAGACCTGACTCGCTTTTATAACCTATACTATGTAATGTAATTTCCTTTCAAAGATTTTGGAGAGAGTTTAATACGGCCTGAAATAGTAAAACAGGCGCAACAAAAAATCATATGGGTATGTGGGAAGTTATGCAGAGGAAGATAAGGCATTTTACCATGTTTTTTACCATCTAAAAGAGATGAAGGCATATGAATCATAAGGACCACAGCTACATTGTGTAAACTTTACAACTTACTTCACTTACACACACATCTCATATTCACCCTTTAGGTCTTAACCCTGTCTTTGCTTTTTTTCTATACAAACACATGTACTGCCCTTCCTCTGAACAACTGCTTTGTCTCTCTTCTTCCAAACAACTACCAACCTATGTTATCATTGCTCATCTTCTTGATCTATTCCCTTTCTGTTTTCCTTTTCTTTCTTATCTTAGTAACTAGTTCTTGCATATGAGTTCGATGTCAGGATTTATATGACAAAATACCAGGAACAAAAGGTGTCAGCAAATTGTGCAGCGTTTCATAAATGCAAATTTAGCATACACAAGCAAAACTTTAGAACTGGTATGAGTGACTATAGATTTAGAGTAAGGTTATATGATCAACTTCATCAAATCTTGGCCAACCAAAATAACAGATGAAGCAAAAATACCCAAGAAGTCTAGGTAATATTTCGTCCTTCAAAAATCTTGTTTGATCAAAGCACAACTTTTTAATTCCGGCAAGGTGCAGCTCTTAAAGATAAATAAATAAATAAATATTGCATATATTTTTAAAATATATTCGTTGTTTTAGCTAAAATAAATCATATTTAATTTGTTTACAACCCTCATTTAGTCATTTGGATTTGTTCAAACAAAGATGACTTTATTTAGGGAAAAGAACTATTGAAAAAGGCCTCAGTTTTTAATATATGGAATGTGTCATGAATGGATTAGTTCAAATGGTCGATAGACAAACCTCAAAAAAGAGCTCATCGGGCAAGCAACGGTGTATAAGTGCAGTATCGATGGAAGGCTTGTGAATTGCATTGCCAAAAGGGGTGACAGCTCTGATATGGACCCCATAAAGATCTGAAATAAATAACCAGATGGCAATGAATGAGCAACAGTTGGAATAGAATATATAACATCTTTCTTTCCAATAATGGAAGAAGTCAAAAATACAATTCTAGAGATTGAAGGGAAATATCAAAGGAGAACCAAGCATGTACCAAGCCACGGCCTTTGTGTTACCAAGTATTGAGTAGTTCTCCAGCATACATTTTCAAGCTTGGTTGCAAGTGTGAGCTTGTAATCTGCCGGAAATAGTTAAAAGTGTAATATGAGATTGTCAAACAAAAACTTTGCAATTTATGTTATCCAATTTAATTTTAGGTGTGGGTGTGTCGTCCAAATTAATATGGTTGATGTGTCTTTCCCTATGGGCAGGGGCATTAAAGCATTTTCAGACTCGGCAGTAAGAGCGGGGGTGGCTAGGAGATTCTAAAATCAACCATGGCATCAATTAACACACCCGGGAAAACTAGCAAGATCAGACCACTGAGGTCTATAGAATCGTGAGCTAGAAAGAGAAGCCTTGGTTGAACAAATAATGGCAAGATGGCTGGAGGCAAGCTCACTTTTGACTCCACATAGATATGGTGTTTAAAACTGATATGGTGTTTAACACTTTAAGCCACATCATTTTGGCCACCAGTGTTATTACTACCCATTTCTCCCGACCATGGGATATGGTGGCAAATCTATATACGAGAAAACAAGCAAACTAAAGAGATGTACGGATGAAAGATCAGAAGCTAACACGGAAACACACACGAAGAGTTGCCTTTTGGCCATTTCAATTTTACACTCTTGAGATTCATAGAATGAAAAGTAATATACGGATTCACGAGGGCCTCAAAGAATAGAAATTCAAAATGCATATTTCTTTATGAATTGTGGGGTGCATACGGGTAAGGATAACATCATAGATCACTAGGACTAAACAAAAAACTCTTTATACATCATAAGAGTCACATCTCAACAACAACAACCCAGTTGAATCTCACAAGAGTAGGGTATGGGGTGTGTGTATGCAGACCTTACCCCTACTCCTCCAAAGTAGGAAGGTTGTTTCCAAGAGACTTCCAACTCAAGTAACACAGATAGCACATCATCACAGAAGACACATAAAGTAGAGAAACCACATAGCACAAAAAGCAATGAACAAACTATAATTAACGAAGGAGAAGCACAACAAGCAGAATGTACCAAGCATAAAAAGCACACACCAACAAGTGCGAAAATTACCACCAAGCCCAAAATGCTTACCCAACTACCATAATCCTAGCTCTCCAAACGCTCCTATGTAAGGTCATATCCTCAGTAAGGGCCAGAAGTCCTAGGTCCTATCTAATCAGTAATCACTTCCTTTAGTTTCCTCTTAGATCTGTCCCTTCCCCTACTCCCACCCACCACCGTAAGCCCATCACATCTCCGCATTGGGCCTCAGCATTCTCCACCTCATTCTCCACCTCACATGCCCAACCCATCTCAACCTAGCTTCCTGCAGCTTTTCCTCCATAGGTGCCACTCCTACCCGTCCTCCTTCATTTTAATCATATCTATCCTCGTCTGTCCACTAATCCACCGCAGTATCCACATCCGTGCAGCATGCTGGTGATGAACATGGGTTTTTTTTAACTGCCCAGCACTCCACAGCATGCAGCATAGTTGGTCTGCCTACAGACCGATACAACTTATCTTTCATCCTAGCCAAAATCTTCTAATAGCACAGAACCCTTGAAGCCAACGTCCACTTAGCCCAAGCCACTCCAATACGGTGCGCCACATCCCTGTCCAGCTCCCCATCCCCATCACATATCACACAACTGAATTAGTGATAAACATATAAACCTTTTCATGAGTATGCTTAAATGGGTGTATGGGAAGGTTACCCATGTAAGCGTACTCATGAAAGGGTTAGAGTGACACACATTTTTTGCAAGGAAGCATTTTTGCAACACATTTTGAAAGGAAGCATCATGTTGTTAACTATTAAGGCATCGAATATCATTAGATTAGAAAAGTCAACTATTTTAAACATTTTTTCAACATTTGAACAATCATTAATGTCATTCTTAGAAGATTCATGTGGTGAATAACATCCAGTGCATCAAGTCCAACTTTGACAAACTTTGGAAATTAATATTAATGGTACTCAACCAAACAATCTCACCTCAACCTCATTTGGAAGTGAAAGAAACTAGGGTGTCTGTGAGCATGTAAAACTTGATATATTTCTAAATTCTAGTTTTTTTAATCACTACAATTTATTATAAAGACTTCATTAGAAGTAATTCTTAAAATGCATGAAAAGTTGTGTTCTAAGACAATTGGAGTTGACTACACCTAAACAATTTGGTATTTATAAAAGAATATTAGAAGATTAAAGAAAAAGATGAGAATTGAGATACGCCAATTGTAACGCCCCGAAAATAGGCATATCAGAATTAATTAATTGATAATTAATTAATTACTCAGATGGACCCAAAAATTAGTGACTTATAAAGTTTGTCAATTAATTTAGAAAGTTATACCGTTTTGTAGAGTTTGACTCTCTTATCGCAATGGTGCAATCGGATTTCAATTCGGAGAAAGTTGGACAAAAAAGTGTACCCTGACTATGACCATTTTAGTCCCAATCAGGGAGTAGCGAATGAAATCAAACTGAATCACATAATCGCCGCTCCACTTCTTCACCGATCGAAATCACTGACTCGACAAGCAACTTCTTCCCCAAACTCTCACTATATAAGGACCTCCCAACCTTCCCATTTCTTCACCAAACTTAGTAAAATTATTATCATTGTGCTCCTAAGAGTGAGGAGAGCAAGCTGTTGTAGTTCATCGCCGTTGGAATCGCCAGAGATAGCCGTGGTGTTCGTCGGAAGTTTTGCCAGAAAATTTCCAAATCCTTCATTTAAGCTCGAAGTAAGCCCTTAGATATATTTAGTGATTAGAATGTTCATATAGATCGTTTTTACGTTCATAAACGATCATTTGGTTGAGTTTTGTGCTATAAAAATGAAAATACATTTTTGATGAACTAAGAATCATAAACCTTCACATTGTTGTTAAAGCTTTGAATTAATTGCTTAAAAATGGTCTATGGATGTTAGAAAAACTTTTTATAAAGTTAAAATGAAATTTAGAAGCTTAAAATGGTGTTTTGGAAATTGACCAAGGTTGAAGACAACATTGTATAAAAACTCCCACAGAAATGGTGCTTGGATACCGCCCAGGTAAAGTCAGTACAGTAGGTTGTACTGTCAGAACGGTAGCTAGCTACCGCCACAGGCCAATCCACTCTGGTGGTACTTGACACCAGTCGGTACCCTATAGGTACTGAGGTACCATTATCGGTACCCTGGTACCGAGACACGTACCGTCTGACCCGAAGGATTTTCCCACAAAATTGTATTTTTGTCAAAGATACATTTCGAGACTTATTATGTTGCGTGACGGTAAGCTATAGCATTAACACTTGATGTTAGACTGCTATTTGTTATTAAATATTAAGATGATTGTTGTTGATTATTGATTATGATGATTGAACTTTGATTAAAAATAAATATCCTAATTTAAATGATGATTATAAATGACTAAGGCTATCTAGAAGAACTTTAGGATAAACCCCATGTGACTTAATTAGTTTAGGCCTTGCGGGTATGATGTCTGGTGGCCTAGGTAAAAACGCATGTAAGGGATCTACAAACCAATTTAGAGGATAACTCCTTTGAGGATACCACCCATCCAACAGTGAGTAGTCCGTTGTTTGGTTTTCTAAACGTGGCATATAAGACTTGTAGGATACGTCATGATCTTGTGTTCTACCTTAGACTAAGAATAGTTTAAGAGCTTTGTGATTCATATGAATTTGGCCTTAGACTAAGAATAGTTTAAGAGCATTGTTATCATTTGACCTTAGACTAATAATAGTTTAAGAGCCCTGTTGACACCATGAATATTGAACATAATATTATGTGTATGATATCAAGTGATTTGATTATGAATTGTGATTCAATTTATGTAGCAGTTCGATGCATTAGATATCCTTACTCAACTTCAACGCTGAACGTGTAGTATGTTTTATTTGCTACACGCAAGTAAACAAAATAAAGAATGATGTGATGACGATCCTGGCGGCATATGGGGACGAGATGTCGGGATGGATTGTGATGGTTTTCCAGCTGTTCAAATAAATATTCAAAATGAATTATTTATATTTTTTTATGTTTGTGTTGTTGAAACAATTTGCAAATCTTCCACAAATTTATTATGAACTCCGATTATGTTGAAATGATATTATGATGAAATAAAGTTTTTAAATGTTTGAAATTTCTATGTTACCAAGTTAATACTATAGTCTGAAAGGGGTTGCAGAACTGGACAGATTAAGATGTTACACCAATGGTCCAATTCATTTAGAACTTAGAAGAGATTGAGGGGACATGTAAAGGTTTAATGACTAGTGTTGTTACTCCTCCCATCCAAAAATAATGTCCCCTTTTGGCTTTTTGGGGTCAAAAATGAAAACCTTTGACCATAACATTCGAAAGAATATAACGAATAACATTGTAAGTTTACTACTCCCTCCGACCTAAAATGTTCTTCCCACTTACTTTTCACATGGTCAAACTTTAATCACTTTCTTTACCTATTTTCATTAGGTATTTGATAAAATAATATAGTCTTGTCACCACTTGTTTTGTAGAACTTTTGATGCAGTTTTTAAATATATAAATTTTATTTTTTAATTTTACACCTACAATCAAATAAATTGAATTAAAAATAAAGTCGGTCAAACCTCGTAAACAGAACTGGGAAAAACATTATAGGACGGGGGGAGTATCATTTTATTCGTCTTGAAATGAAAATTTAAAATATCATATTCTTGTTTTAAAAAATGTTTAAATATAGATATTAATGATAAAAAAAGTCATATTGAAGACCGTGAAAAGTGAAATAGGAACATTGTTTTGGATCGAGGGGAGTATTATTTATTATTCTTCAGAGAATCTTTTATAATGATGACATTATGCTTATCTCCTCACTAAGTTGTTAGATTGTTGTAAATTATCTTACTTAGCTCTTCCTATTGAACCTATTTATGTCGGCATAATTCTCCTAAGATAATACTACCTTTGTCCCGTATTAATGCTCCAGAATTGACCAGACACAAAGATTAAGAAAAGTGAAATTGTGTGATTGAAAGTAGTGCAGAAGAGAGAGAAATGATGTAAGCCACAAAAAGTTTGCCTAACATGGAAAATGGAACCTTATTTTGGGTTGGATAAAAAAGGCATTGTGAAACATTATTACAGGATAGAGGGAGTACAAGACTTGATACTCTCACATCCATGTTTTTGTTTTTGAAACTAAACCACAAACAAACAAAAAGCAAAACAAAAGCATCCCCAAAGTGTTCCATAGAAATGAAAGATTGTATGGATATCGTGTTTTTTAAACAACTAGCCAATTAATATTGAGACTGTGGAACCTATGAAAAACTTTGATTTGAAATGAATTCAAGTGTATATATTGTTTGTAACCTTTGTTCATAAAATAAGCCATGTGGCAATGATCTTAAGCAAACCAACCTAATCTCCTCAAGCTCATCATGACTTGGCTAGCAAAGTATGCCTAGAAGAGTATTCTACTACATAAATATATCATAAAATAATAATGAATAAAAAAGAACCAGAAGATTCAACATGGGATGAAAGAAGTAAATGAGCAGCATTTCTAAATAAAAAATTGATTAATTCCATACCTGAAGTCATTAAGAAATAGGTAGGCTTTTGGTGTCTTTATCGTCTTGCTTCTAATCTCTCCCCAATCATAGGCATTAGTTACTCCTAAAGGAGTCAAGCAAAGAGGTGTATGTGATTTGTTAAATTTTTATCAACCAACTCTATGTGGTATTAATGCAAAAATAATTTATGTATAGGATGTCTAATTGTCTAGCTTCTCAGGATTTCTTACAAACAATAAGATTGCAAATTCTGTACAAAGTTATAAACTAACATGGTAAGTACCACATGCACAGTTATCAAAATGCAAAAATGGCGGCACCAGTGGATGGTGGTGGTAGAATCTAAACAAAATGCCATGGACATGTGGTGGGTTTTCAACAACAGAGAATGGCATATTGGCATTATGGTAGCATGGTTGTGGCGGCAAATGAGATAACTTTTGAAAATGAGAAGTTTGTGGGTCAGTTGGCCCAACTTGTGTAAGTGGGTAATTTGACCCCGCCCCACGCATTGTAAATGCTACAACTACAAGTACATATTTGAACAACAAAACTATCAAACAAGAGGAAACTTGTGAAGCGTGAACCCTCTCTATCTATATGTATGGTTCTACTAATCAAACTTGTGAAGATCATTCATTAAAACTCTCTCATAGCATCTCATTACTCATCATGTATCCCCAACAAATAGGGATGGTAGAATTTGGTGAAAAGATATAGCCCTCACCTAAGACACCAATCGGAGGGGAAAAGATTTACAAGTTGATGATTCTTTAGCCCCTTGGGGTTGCTCTTTGGTGGGACCAATTGTAGATATCTCACTTTTCACAGCATTGTGAAGCCCGAGCGCAGTAGAACCTGAGAGCTTCTAAGACCCGGTGCTTAGTGTTGCCAACTAGCGGTCAATCAAAAACAAATCAATTTGTATGTTAAGGACTACTTGTGGATGAAAGTGTATAGACTACTACATGGCAACTAGAGAGACCATGAAGTTTCAATTTTGCCTCAAGCTCTTAGGTGGGGGACAAAAATTAGTTTCGTGAAGCCAATAAACTGTATGCATCAGAAGCAAATATTTATTGTGCATAATTTAACTATTACTCTGAACTCCAATAGAAATTTGTTACTCCGTATTCTATTCTCTGCTCTTATGGGTTGTGACTTCTTTTTTCTGTTATTCATTTTGTATGTTTGGTCAAATATTTCTAGGCTACTGCGAATCTGAACTCAATGTTGTGTTGTTTTCTTGTTTACTTAAAAACTGCCCAAGTTTACTTCCTCTTGTCTCAGATTTTTACTCTTTCTGATCATACTTCTCAAGTTCTCATAGTTTTTGAGAACCTTAAGCATTTACCACACATTCCACTCGAGTACCCAACACACAGTGTCACAATATTCTTGAAGGCCAACAATTAAAATTGGCAATATTGCTCCATGCACTAAATGCCTTAAAGATGCTAGAGGGTAACTTCAAGAGTATTTCAAATGAAAAAAATGGATGATGAATATTCAAACTAGGATAGGTGCTGATTTTGAGGATTTAGGATTTGGTGGAAGTAAAGAAGAGATGGAATCTGTGACATTTTGCACTTCAAGGAGAAAGAGTGCACCTAAAATGGGACAAGTGGATTTATTTTTGCAGCAATCTAGAAACTGCAATAACAAGTCCAGAGAGAGAGCTGTTAAGATAGGCTAGCAGTAGAGAAGCAATTGCCGAAGAAGCAATGCTTGAGACCCATCAGCACATTGCTCATATTAGGTATCAAATTGGTTTATCCTTCAACTAGATTAAGTTAAATAGCTTTGAAGATATGGTTTATGAGGCTCTGAATATTGGAGAGCCTAAAACATATGCTAGGAAAAGACTAGAAGAAATGGATCCATCAAGTGGTGTTTCATCTCATCTGCCAAAACTTCTAAACCTCAAAGGGGAGAGAGTAGGTACTCCCAATTTATTATCACTCACCATTCTGTTAAGACTTTATTTCAATTGTGGTTGTTAACTAGTTTAGAATTATAATGTATGAACGTTATTGATGTTAGTATGAACTAGTTTTCTACATTGTATGTTGTGTGTGTGTCTACGTGATATTTTTATCTAGTCGCCACGCTTCTGCCAATTGCCACAATGCAGTGTGCTATATTTAAAAGACAAATTGGCAATTTTTTACTTTCAGGAAGTCATAATTCGCCGCCATCGATAACACCAATGACATGTAATCAGAGGAAAAGAAATTCAAGTCATTTCTCAAAGTATAGGAGATAAGGTCCAATCTGTTCTGTGCCTGCGGGTGGATACAGCTCCACTTCTTGGCCCTGTAAAACTGAAAAAGAGTTTGAAACAACAGTTTCTGAATCCAAATCCTCATGGTTTGCTAAAGAAAAAGACACCATTAGATTTTTTCTAATATCTAAGTGTCAATTACAATTTCACAATCAGATGATTGGGTTATTCATGATTGTTAGCTTGAATGCAAAACTATGCTACTAAGGCCATGTTCTTTTGGATTGGAATTTCAGAGTTTGATGCTGGAAGAAACTGGAAGGAGTTAGAAAAAACTCTAAGGAGTTGGAAAATTTTGGAAGAATTAAAGTGTTAAAAAGTTACTTAATTAAATGTTCACCCAAACAAATATATAAGAAAACTCTAATTTTGGATAATAAAAAATTCATCATTGTCCGTGTTAGTGGTGGTATGTTATCAAATTTGGATACATAATGTTATTGTATTATCATCATATATAAATATCGTCTTTAAGTCGTTGGATGAAACTCGAAGAACTTGGAAGGAACTGGAAGGAGTTGGAAAAAGTTGGAATTTAATTTTTCCAACCGAACAGGACCTAGGTTGCATCGGGACAGGTCCGGTATAGAGAAGGGGACAGGGCACATAAACACTTGCTTCTTCAAATGTAACAAAGAATTTGGCCATAGCCACAACCCCAAGTTTCACATAAAGTTCAAACGGATTTGAGATTCGATGCTATATTCATCCCAAAATTTCCATTAACAGTTGTTGTGCTTACTCAGAGAAAATCACTATAAACGCAAACAAACTAAAGCCTGAACGGTTGAAGGTATAGAGATGAAATGAGCAAAAAGAATAAAGGCACTTGTTCAAAGTCATCTTCACCGATTGAGAAACGCAAAACAGAGTTCAATTAAAGAAATTCATCAACAAAAACTAAATTAAAACTTCATGTGAACACGCATATTGTCGGGAGAAGGAGATTTCATACCAAAACATCTTCCACCTAATCCAGTTCATCGCAATTAATCCCATCTATACTGGATATGATGTCCTAATGCTCAAGGCCCCGGCCCCCGAATACGAGTAATCATATCTGCCAATTATTGTTAGCCATGATTCCTACCTCTTATTTCCCCCAATAAACTTCTCAGTAGGGGTGAGCACGGGCCCGTCCGAGCCAAGATTTGTATAAACTAGACTCAGCTTATTTTTATTAAAACGATCCGGACCAGAACGGGTTTTCAAAATTTTAAAATTGAAACCGGACCTAACCCGGGTTGTTTGAAACGGGCCGATTCCACGGGTCAACGGGTACGAACATATCATGATACTAATATTAAAAAAAATAAAGAGATAATAAATTAATTTAAGTCATCCAACACAAAAAAAAAAGGCATAAATGAAATTGAAACAGTGACAAAGAGGGACATGAGAGTAAAGTATACCCCATGATCATCCAACAACAACAACAAAAAAAGAAGACAACCACATTTCCAAAAAACAAAATTCACAATCTTCATGGGTGACTATGAAAGATTTTCTTATTTTTCTATTTGCGATTGAAAGAACTGAAAGATTGAAGGCTTAGGTGGGTATATTTCCGGATATCCATGTATTTATACACTACAAGAAAATCGCAGAATTGCGACGGAAAGTTGCAACGGTTGTACTTCCGTTGTACTCGGCGACGGCATTTGCGACAGACATTGTCACCGTAAATCTCGGCGACGGAGTGTGCGACGGAATTATAAATCCTCGTAAAGTTCGGGGCGGGACACTTGGCGCCAATAGTCTGCGACGTCATTTGCGACGGAAGCCACCGTTGCAAACTTAATTATTTATTTTAATTTAATTCATTTTCGTTTGCGATGGAATCTGCGAAGGAATCTGCCACGGAGTGGTTCCGTCGCTACCTTTTTTTAAAATTTCACATTTTTTTCCCCTAAACAACGTCGTTTTGCTCTACACTCGCATTTAATTTTACCATTGCGACGGATTCTGCGACGGAATATTTCCGTCGCAAACAGATTGACTTTAAATAAAAAATCTGTCTCCTTTCTCCCAAATCTGCAGCGAGTAGAGATAGAGGAGCGACGGCCAGCGAAGAGCTTACGGATCCAAATCGAATTTCTTCAATTCCAAGTAATATTTTTACGTTTTTATTGCAATTTACTTATTTATTTTCATCAATATATGATTTATTTTAGAAAAATACATTTTTAGGGTTATGGTATTGTTTTGGATAAAATTGAGGTGTTTGAAGGGG